AAAAAAAAAAAAAAAAAAAAAAATCACAGTTATGAGATCCTTTTCTTCTCCTACATAATTTGATAATTTCAAGTTTCGATCCAGTGGAACCAAGTCCGTGACGTGCGTGCGTGTGTGTTGTGTGTGTGTGTGCCATAAAAGTCTTAAAACACATCCAGCTTCTTACTTGTTGATATCATCAGAAGAATAACCAGTTACACCTCCAAAGACCACTAATACATAATCGACATCCAATGATCTCATTATCTCATATGCTTCGTCCTCATAGGATGACATAGCACGTCCAACAGTAGCTATATGTGTGTTATTCCAAGTGTTATTGTCTACAATAACAGTTCGGTTCCCCATTGCAGTAATCTGATATCCATAATCCCACCAGGACATCACCTTGGCATCTGCAGGAGTGTTTTGTCGCAGCCAAAAGTAAGCTTCACGATAATCATCAAATATAACCCGGTTACCATGAGCACCCCTGGCTGCTAAAACGATTGATGGAGATGAATATGCCTCTGATGTAACCCAAGTACAATGAATAGCATATCTGCTAAGCAAGTAAAATGCTCCAAGAAGCAAAGCAACAGCACCATTTCTCTGGAAAGGCATAGACTGATCCACTGACCCCTGTTTGTGCAATGAAACATCAAACAAGGTTAATTTTTGTCATCCATAACTATTACAAAGAATGCTTCTCATAACATTTGAATAAGCCCAAAGAAAATTGCAATATTTTACGTCCATTAGAACATTTCGCACCACACTTTTGAATGGCTATATTCACATCTCCGACATGATCTTACTACAGTTTAACATGAAGTTAAAGCATATACCTTAACATCAATTTGAGAGATAAAGAGAGAGAGTTGAAAAGAGAAAAAAGAAAAAGGAAAATGTTACAATTAATGTTGTTAGCTTTGTAGTTGTCAGAAAAAAAAAATAAATAAATAAATAATTTCTATACATATGTAATCACTCGAAACCCCACCTTAGAAGAAGCTTTGGTACTAGATGCTCCTTTACCAGACACAACAGAAGCAGGTTTGCTCTTTGCCCTGACAAGCTGGGTTAAACTTTTTATAGTGGCTGAGACTGCAATGGCGCTAATAAGGCATACAGCAGGCGTAGCAACAAGTATCAAGCGCACCATGACTCCAGCAAAATACATGCTAGTGAGACCATACATCACTATGAATATTGTGGCATCTGACAGACGCTTGAAGCAGAAATATAAACCAGCTGGGAATAGAATTAGCAGAATATGATAATCAAACATGAATGATGACCATGCTGTTGGTTGATGCTCGGAAACAGATGCAATTATGGGGATGTGATCCTTAGCATAAGTTGGGTCCAGCAGAGAATAAAACCGACCAGTCCACGGAGAAATATACCCAGATGCAGTGCCAACTCCTAGAGCTATGGCACCCAAACCCACAGCACTGGTGACTGTGACTCTCAAGAATGTGTGGAACTTCCTTGGATCATTTAACAGATACTTGACCCAACCCAAAAAGTAAAACACCTGAGGCAAGCAGTTGAAATTAGCTTCATTTAAATTCAATGTAAAACTTGCATAGAACTACCAGGCACAGCCGCACAGAGTCAGATGAATCAAAACAACTTGAAAAATATAAACTCAGGTAAGAGATAAATCAAGAGATAAGCCATTTGGACTTATACTGTTATAAATGCTTCAAAATATATAGCAAATTGGACGCCATGCCTCACAATTATTATCATCTCAAGGCTTATGCCTCTTGAAAATTGAAATCAGTGATGAACTAATGCAGAAGCAGAAAGAACTCTAAAATTAGATAATTCAAGTAATACATTCAATCTCCTCCATATAGATCTTATGAAGGAAACGTTCAGAAAATCTCATGAGATCAAGTACCATTACATCTCATTCTCATGACACTTATACTGGTACATAATATCAGTATTGAGCCACGTAGACCAAAGCCAAAATGATATAAATCTGGATTGCTTCTGTCTCAAAATAGATGCTGTTATCGATGACCAATAAGGTAGATTTAAACTATATTGACTTCTCCAACTCGTATCCAACATCCAGCACTACTTTTCACTATCGATAGTAAGATTTAGCATCTTGAATTATAACATATAGAGCAAGATTCTAAGGAAAAAATCACCAAGATCCACTCAAATGCAAGCTAACTTTACATTTTTAAGAGGATGAAGTGACATTGCTAATGGTAATATAAAGCTAATACCTGCAACAAGAAAAACACACCCATTGCTGCCATGTGTTCCCCAGATTGCACATGTTGAAAGCCAACAAAACGAATCTGCATTGCTAGCAACATTCCCAGAACATACATGCAATTATAGGCCACATATAACCTCATTGAGTATCTCCCAGTAATCAACAGTACAATTACATATAATGGAATCAGATTGATAATGAATACATAACCACCCCATGCCGAAACCATGTAGAAGTACCCAAAAGCTGAGGCCAGAGCCCAAGAAAGTGAGCCTGTATTCACAGCCTTGACGAATAAAAAGAAAGTAAGAAGCAACGCAAATATAGCAACACCCTCGTTGTCGTACGATCCTGCAACCGACCTCGAAATATAACCAGGGCAAATAGCAATAAATGCAGCTGCTACAAGTCCAGCCCCAGAATCCCATAACAGTTTCCCAAAGAAGTACGCAACAAGAGTAGTGTTGGAAGCGAAAAACGGAGCAAGGAGCACACAAACTTCACGGATGTGAACAGCAAAACTGTAAACAACAATAACCCATTTTAGATCTCAGCATCCCGCACAAACAACAATTGTCAAATTTATAATTTTGTTCCACGCATAAAACTAACCATCACATTTCATACCTTATTATGTTCAATGAAATAACACCATACTAAATGATAATGCTTTTCTAACTTCTAGATCACACTATTACACCAACCATCATTTTCAATTACTGCACTAAACGAATAATACTCCGAAACTAAATTGTGCATGCATACTAAAATGGAAAGAAATGTACCCTATAAAGCGTAGAGTCCAGAAAATAAACGCAGCTGTAACCATGAGCCCAGGGTACAGAGTCCCACCAATAATCCTTCCAAGAGGGTACCAGCTTTCCGAATCAAACCAGTTCCAGAACTCGTAAAACCCCTTCTGAGTCAAGTACTGAGTGACTCGGTAGTTGAAGTAAGGGTCAAACTCGTGGATCATGCTTTCGTAGCGCAGGACGCTGAACAAGCGCGTGATGAACGCCAGGACGTAAATCAGGCCGAGGATCGTGACGCGGATCAACAGCTCCTGCTGCTTCGTTTTCAGCTTGAGCGATTTCAGCAGGGAGCTGACGCCGGAGGAGGACAGCGGATCCGCCGGCGGTTTCTCCATTTTCGCCGCCACCATTGGATCGGTCGATCGGAGGGGGGATCGGATTACGGTGTATGGGGAGTTGGTGTTAGTAGCTGGGGGAAATTAGTTCAGGCATTGAGGAGGATTTTTTCAGCCATTAAAACCCTTAATTAGTGAGCTCAATGCGTCAGTGATAACAGTTCAAACTTCAAAGTGTTGGTCTTTGGGGATGAGGTGCGGAAATGTTTGTGAATTGCCAAACAATTGGGGTGCTTTTGCAATAATATCTTTTTTCTTTCTCACCCAAAAAAAGTTGCAAAATTTGATTTTCATCCTCTATTCTCCGAATTTTTTATTTTAAAAAAAAAAAATTACTGGACAAAAAAAAAGTGGACTAAAATCAAACAGTTGTATTCTCCGAATATGTTTTCAATAAAAAAGGGATTCTCGCAATACGTTTTTCATTGTAAAATGTATTCCGAGAATCCGTTTTATGCTAATATAATATATATCGTACTTAAGTTAATTAATCATAATTAAAATTCCAAAAAACGAATAACAAAAATACGTTTTTATTAGAAAACATATAACACAAATACGTCTTCATAAGAAAACGTAATTTTCATAATACAATTTATTATTAAATTTAATTTTAAAATTTTAGAAAATTATTTATTTGCAAAAAAAATAATTTTTTTAAATTATAAAACGTATTTCGGAAATACGTTTTTCGTTTGACTTTGCCCCAAATTGATTTTGCCCTAATTTTTGCCCCAAATTGATTTTGACCTAATTTTTGCCCCAAATTAAAACGTATTTCTGAAATACGTTTTTTTAAAAAAAATAAGTAATCCGAAAGTCCGTTTTACTGTGCAAAAAATTTCCTGTTCAGAGTAAATAATAATAATACACTTGTTAATCGATATCGATTCAACAACGTTCCACAAGCTCATATCAATCCATTATTCAAAGAAAGAAAAATCCAACACAATAATATATTCAAAATATATAGATGTCCAAATATCATTCCACATAATCCACAAAAAAAAAAAAAA